TTCATCAACACGAAATAGTGAAATCGAGTCAAAGCGAGTCTTATATTAAGACCACAGAGCCAAATATAGGTCCCTAGTGAACTTAAAACCATCAAGGACGACGTTAGGGTCCAGGTATTTAATCTATTATCAGATTTTATCAGATGCAGGTATTGTCCAGGGATGTAGCAGGTATTACAATTTAGCCAGAAATCCTTTGAAATATATGTTTATATTACCAAAACAGGTATACTCCAGGCTTAATACCTGGAATAGTCATATGAGCACAACTTCACCAAATTCAAAACTGATCACGAACATCCTATGTCGGAGCCACTCGCGCATGTTTTATCCAATAGCCGATCTAATAACCGCAATTCGTTTTGACCAGGTATAGCCCAGGTTTGCGACACAGATCATGTACAGCGTGTATTGAGGCTACTTCACTCGAACTATCCTCGCAAACGACGCTTCGGCTGTGGTGATATGTTCATCACTGCCATGAGTATTTTCCATCGCAGCATCGTAAGACCAGTGGGTGACAAGTCCGTCGGGGCGTCGCTTGAGACCATCTTCCAGAAAAACAAGCAGACAAAGACTCCACAATTGTTGTCGTCCTTCTGTCTTGGTGCCTTTGCAATTTGGTGGGCGTATGAGCCCTGGAGACTGCACTTGACCTTTGTCACCAATTGCATCAGTGCTTTACCGGTCTTCCGCCCGTTCATACTATCGTAGATGTAGGTTGTCTTGGATTCCTTGTCGACAGCAAGGCACGCCCAGTGACTAGAGTTGAAGTTGACAGGCAGAAAGAGAAATTTTACAGAGTCGTGCTCCACATACGATCGAATTTCCTCCATCGCTTTGTCATCCACATTGGCAACTCCTTCTGATGTCGTACTGGTTGCCACTGACAACAATACCGTGGTGATATTCGTGTAAGATCTCTCTAGAAACATGTGACCAGATGTTACGGAGATAACACCGGTTTTACCGCGACCGCTCTGGTGCACCGTAGATACATTCCGTATCGACTCCATATTGAAGTCAACCACTGCTTCTGCTATCGCGTCGTCATCTGATAGCTGAGCACCTGCACAAACCACGCGTCAATACGCAACGCTGTAGATAACTCCTCTCTCACGCAGTGACTCACCATTCTTCTTAAGACGAGCTATGAGATTCCTCACATCAGCTGGAGTCACCTGGTGGGTCGAATTCTGGTGAATGTAGTCGTAGATGCTGGAAGAACTTGCACCAGACTCCATAAGCAATTCGATACCAGGCATCAAAGGTGATGATGCAGATACCTGGCGAATACCTGGATAATTACTGTAGATTTCCGCCGAGACTCCGTGGTTGTGACTGTAGACCTCGCGCTTGATACATATGCCCCATGTGCCATCCTCACGACGTGTTACTTGAGCCAGCAACTAAAATGGACACTCCGTGCGCCGCACGCGATGCGTCGTTCGTTGCCCTGTTGATCTTTCTCGGGGGGTGCCATCCGTGTGTGCAAATATATTTCCTTTGGTATGGCTCCATATCTACCGGAACCAGTGGAATATCGGAGTCTTGAAGCCCTTGGTACTTGACTTGCTTTTTGAGGATGTTGTTACGCCGACTGACGTTCATGACCTCTTTCACCACTAGTACCTGACGTGTACGCTTCATGTACTCGCGCAGGTTCTTTTCAAACGCCAGCCATGACTCGTGCTCTGCGTCAATAGGGGGGACATGAACCATGTGATCGTCATCGAGGTCCGACAAGGGCCGCTTCTGCCCTCGGTGCGTAGAGGCTTCTTCTTCTTCACCACCATCTTCGCTAGCAGACTCGTCACTATTATCCGCTATAG